CCGAGGATTATCAGCCGCCTTTGCTGGTCCAGCCGCCGCCTCCATCTCCCGCAGCATCTTCTTCAGCGGGTCCACAGCCGACACCCCCTCCTCCACAAAGCCTGAACCTCCTCTCGCAGTCTCAGCTCCAGCCACAGCCTCTTGCACAGACTGGAGCTCAAATGAAAAAGAAAAGTGGCTTCCAAATTACCAGTGTGACCCCTGCTCAAATATCAGCTAGTATGAGCTCTAATAACAGCATAGCCGAGGATACGGAAAGCTATGATGACCTGGATGAGTCTCACACTGAAGACCTCTCGTCTTCAGAGATCTTGGATGTTTCTTTATCCAGGGCCACTGACTTGGGAGAACCTGAGAGGAGCTCCTCTGAAGAGACTCTGAATAACTTCCAAGAGGCAGAGACTCCTGGGGCTGTTTCTCCAAACCAGCCTCATCTTCCTCAGCAGCATACTCCTCTGCCTCATCACCCACAGCAGAGTGTTGTGATCAATGGAAGTGTTCACCCCCATCACGTTCATCATCACCACCATCTTCACCACCACCATCATGGACACCATCATCCATCGCACCCTGGGGTGGGTAGTGCCCCAGTTTCTGGAGGACCACCGCCCAGTCCATCATTTAGAAAACTATCAACAACTGGAAGCTCTGACAATGTTATATCAACTGCACCAGTTTCTGCTGCATCATCCACTGGTTCCCCGGCATCTGCCGTGTCTAATATCCGCACTACGAGTACTCCTGGCAATTTAGGTGTAAGTCCTGCTACTGGATCTAGTACCTTAAATAATATGAGTGGTGGTAGTTCTAGTGTGGCAAGCAACGTGCTTGGTACTATAAATTTAAGCAACATCACGAGTACTGGTAATGTAAATGCTTTGTCTGGAACTAGCAGCAGTGTTAATGTGAATATCTTGAGTGGTGTTGGCAATGGTACGAGTGCTTCCTCTAGTGTCATTAACAATGTTACTAATCCAACTGCAGGAATGGCAGTGGGATCAGGCCAGCAGCAGCAGCAGCAGCCTACATCTGGCACATCAAGGTTTAGGGTTGTAAAATTAGATTCTAGTTCTGAACCTTTCAAAAAAGGTAGATGGACATGCACTGAATTCTATGATAAAGAAAACACTGTTGCAGTTTCAGAAGGAGTAGCAGTAAACAAAGCAGTAGAGACAATAAAACAAAACCCGCTTGAAGTGACTTCTGAAAGGGAGAGCACCAGTGGGAGTTCTGTTAGCAGCAATGTAAGCACACTGAGTCACTATACAGAAAGTGTGGGAAGTGGAGAAATGGGAGCACCTACTGTGGTACAGCAGCAAGCGTTTCAAGGTGTGGGTCCACAGCAGATGGATTTTACCAGCGCTGCTCCTCCAGCAATTCCAGCATCTAGTATACCACAGAGTGTTTCTCAATCACAGCTTGCACAAGTCCAGCTGCATTCTCAAGAAGTAAACTATCCACAGCAGAAGCCAGGGGTCCAGCCTCCTGCACAGGCCAGTCTAACCACTGTGACTGGGGTTCAGCCAGCCCCAGTTAATATACTAGGTGTATCCCCATCTCTGGGCCACCAGCAACCTGCCATTCAAAGTATGGCTCAACAGCAGCTGCCGTATTCTCAGCCAGCACAGCCCGTGCAGACTTTGCCAGTGGTGCAGCAGCAGCAGTTGCAGTATGGACAGCAGCAGCAACAGCAGCAGCCAGTTCCTACGCAGATGGCCGCGGGTCACGTTAAGCCGGTGAACCAAAACTCCGTTGCAGGGGCCATGCCAGACTACATTCAACATCAGCAGATCCTTCAGACTCCAGCCCCAGCCATGCAGCCAAGTTCTGCTGGGGTAGGAGCTGGGCAGCCGGTTCCTGTTGCCCAGGCACAGGGCATGCAGCCTTCAGTGCAAGCACTTCCAGCCGCTGCCCCAGCTCAGCCTGTTGCACATGCTCCAGCAGCAATACCAGGTGTAGCTGCCAGTGGTCAGATGCTGAACGTTGGGCAGCAGGGAAGCGTAGCTGCTGTGGTGCAACCACCGTCTGCTGCAAACCAAATTCCACCTCCAGTTATGCCGTCAACGGCTGCTCCTCCATCTTCCCAAGTAGTGCAGCCTGTGCAGACAGGAATAATGCAGCAGGGATTACAGCCTAGTGCTTCAGGCCTTCCTCAGCAAATGGTCATTGCTCAGCAAAACACCTTGTTACCTGTTCAGCCGCAGGCACAAGGAGTGGAGTCTGTAGTCCAAGGAATGACTGGCCAGCAGCTGTCTGCGGTTAGCCCTATACCTTCTGCTAGTACTGTTCCTGCACCAAGTCAAGCTGGTTCAGCTGTGCCTCCTGGCATACCTTCTGCTTCTGTAGGCTTGGGACAGCCACAGAACATAGCACAGGCTTCGGCTGTGCAGAATGGCAATTTGGCTCAAAGTGTTAGCCAGCCTCCTTTGATATCAACAAGTATAGGTATGCCAGTGGCACAGAGTGTGCCACAGCAGATACCACTAAGCTCTACCCAATTCCCTGCACAATCGTTAGCTCAGTCAATTGTAAGCCAAATTGAAGATGGCAGACGCCCTACAGAACCTTCCTTGGTGGGTTTACCTCAAGCTGCCGGTGTCGAGAGTGGTGTTGGAGCATCAGCTGTTTCAGATGGTGGTAGCAGCAACATCCCATCCTCTGCATCCCTCTTCCCACTGAAGGTGCTGCCATTGACAACGCCTCTCGTAGATGGTGAGGATGAGAGGTAAGGCTGCCTGTGACTTACTAAAAGTTAAATGGTGGTTTGATTTGCACTAACTTGCAGGTCTCGTTACAGCTGTTCTGTGAAATGAAGCAGTGTGCTGTTTCTGTCTAATTAGAAATACTGTTTCTCAGGTCCCAGCACATGTAGGTATTATATTAAAAGGACTTACTTTTTCTCTTGAGGGGGTGGGTTGTATTGATAATGCTCTGAAACTACTGTGTGGGTAAATTGTGTTTAACAATCTGTGACAGTGTGTATATTGCCATTGTATAGAGGAAGACGGAAGAATACTGTGGAATGTGGGTATGCTAGTGGTGATTGTAGTTTAGGTTATTTATCCTATGGAAATAATATTTATTCTTAAGTAGATTTATTTTTTTCATGAGCCTAGGCTTTGTCCTGCCTCAGCTTCTCTTTTTCAAGTACTGACTTCACTAAGGTTGAACCAGTTGTGAGTCTGTGGTGTATGTAAAACCTTCTCTTTGACAGCCAAGAGACGCTTTAGGCAAATGAGTATGGTGGGAAAAGGGAGGTTCAGCAACACTGTTGTGGCTCTTTCAATTGAACTTGGGGCACACTTGGTCTTGATGGTTTTGCTTCAAAGCATTTCTGCATGGTGAGAGCCGCTCAGGCCTGTGGAGCACTGGTGAGCCTTTGAGTCTGGTGCATCGATTCTGAGTAGTCAGTAAAGAAATTGCACATTTTCTCCCACCTTCACCTTTTCAAACTATGTGTGTTCTCTCACCTTCACCTTTCCGAATAAATGACCCATGGCTGGTCTTAATAGTACATACATGTGAATATTCTCATTTCTTTGACAGTGTGTGCAGAGAAGTTCTATTTATTGTGAAAGGCCAGTGTGTGTGTAGGCTGAAGTGATTCAAACATCAGTTTTAAAGTGTGCTTGTTTTGTATTAATTATGTGTGGAAATTCCTCAATGTATCAAAGACCTCTTGTGATCCGGGTTTGCAAGTGGACAGGAAGACTGGTGGTTTTCTCAAAAAGCTTCTTGTCTAAGAAGCTACATTAATGGGAGAAGTAACTTTTAAGATAAGTAACCCACCTGGGGAATGTTGGGGAGGGTGGAAAAGAACACTGGAAAGACTGAGACTCAGGTGAGGAGACAAAATAAGGCACTAAACGTAAGGCCAGAAAAATGCCATAGCAATGGAAGGTGAAGTACTTCTTGAAGGTCTTCTTGGTGCCATAACTTAAATCAGGAGTAATATCAGTGGCCAGACTTTATTGAAAAAAATAAATTAATAAAATGGGTTGCTGGGAGAGGCTGGATTCTCTTCTTGGTATTGAAAATCCTAACTCTATCAGCAGTCTCTGATTATGTTGATCATGAGGTGTTGACTGCCTTAGTGGCTTTCATCATGTCTTTCTAAGATGCCAGAGAACTATAATGAGTAGCAGCTTGTCTTTCAGGAGTGCTAGAAGACAAGTTCCAACACTGTTTCGTTCTGATTATGTTTTTCTTTAGTCAATAAGCACATGAAGGTGGTAGAAGACAGGTTGGGATGTGAATGCTGACAGTCACCATTATGCTACCAGCAGTCAGTTTTCTGAGAAACGTTTTTTGGGTTTTCTTCATTTGAACCTCCTGAACCAAGACACTGATCCTCTTCATGAGTCCCATTTGTGTTTGGTGGTGTGATTTGTTTTTGTTCTTGTGTGGTTGTTGTTTTTTGGTTGTATGTTTTTGTATGGGTTTTTTTAATCAGCTGAAAAAGCCCCTAAGGTTTGAGGGGATCCTACCTGAGGAAGAGAATCATAAGCTCCCTGATGCTCACTGTTTTGGAAAATGACATCTAGCATGTGTCTGTACCTTGATTTTTAAGAACATATGTTAGCAGTTTGTCATGATTAGTACTTTTTCCAGAATGTTTAAATCCCGCAGGGTAACAATAGCCAGAAATACCTTCTTCCTCTGTTATTTGGCTAGCCAAAGATCATATCCTTTCTTCTCCCATGCACGTTGTGTCTTTGTTCAATCTGTCATCTCCAGGTAGACTACACTTTTGTTTAGCTGCAGTTGGAAAATCATTTAGATTCTTTACACAGAGCAGGATGTGACTCTGTTAAATGGAGACCAAAATAATTGTGCTTTTTTTTGCATGACAGTAGTGGTCAGGTCACTTGTGTATGCAGTCAGACAATTTCCAGCAGCACTGCTCCCTGTACATCTGTATGTAAGGTTAAAAACCTAGTGAGATTGTTTCTGTTTTCCGCTTCCGGGGGATCTCAGGGCAAGGTATTTATATTGTCATCTCGACTGGAATTACTTTTGGTCTGGAGCTTAGATTTCATTACTCACTAAAGGTAGTGCAAGATATGTTATTCTGCTTGGCTCTGTTTCTCTGGCCATCAGATCTCTCTACTTAGAATTTTTTTGCCTGTTTGTTAGATTATTCCCTCTTTTACAGGAGGGAAGGGGCAGTGTGTTGTAAAAATACGTGAACATTTAAGAAGCAGGTATGTTGTAAATGTGTGTTAGAAATCTTCAGTGTTATATGTGTGTGTGTGCAGATGAGACAGAGAAATGGGGATTTTAATCAATACATCCCAAGTGATTCTAAACCTGGCAAGGGAAAAGGTATGAGAAAGAAGTAAGTGATGACATAATTGGGCCAGCAGAGAAGCTGTAAAATTCCATTTAGTGTGCATTTGAAAAAACATCTGACCCATGTAATACCTTGTATAGATTAACTCCCAGCTTTCCTTAAACCTGTATATAATTGCGTTTAAGGACGCCAGTATCTCTAAGTCTTTAGCCTGTTCAGTTTTTAGAATGCCATTTGCAGCTCGTTCTATGCCTGTTATCAGGGCATGGCCTTTTAACTATAGACAGTGTGTAGTGTATCTGCTTTGAAAACTGTAACCTTTATTTCCCTAGTATGAATGACTTTTATTTCAAGTCACAATGAAGATTAGAAAAAAGAGATATTAAAAATGAACTGCTTGGCAGAACACCATATGAAAATTAATATGCAAACTTTATTTATTAAAGAGAAGATACAAATAATACTCATGTAGTTTCTGTATTAAAAAAACCCCACAAAACAAACCCAAAGCAAATCACCAACAGAACCACGCAACACCCATAGTTCTGACTAGTCTTTCTTCAGCCTATTGGTTATGCCATAGATGTTTGTATGTTGGTAGATTCATCATGTCTTCTAATTTTTCAGTCTACAAAAATGCAGGCAGTTTTTTGGTTATTAAATGTCTTTTTTTTTTCTTAGCTAGATGCATGATATGAAGTCTTTTATTGCATGTTTCTTGGATTTGGGGCAGTTACCTCAGTTTATTCAGTTCAGTTATTAAATCTTGTCCATTTTAGACATGGTCTTTTGAGCTTAGTATTTCATGTCTAGAATTGAGAAGAGGGTTGATTTTTTTTTTTTTGTGCTTTTGAAACTTTTAAGTGTGGAAAAAATGCAAGTTTATATCACAGTGATTTTTTTTTTTGTGTATATACACTAGTGTTGCAAAATCAGTTTCACATCTTCGCAGACAGTGCTTTACTATGCTGTAGATGCTTGCAGTAAGATTTTGTACAGACTTGTTTTGTGTAAACTTAAAGTCAGTGTATTTTGCAGCATTTATAAAGGTTGCTGTAAGTGAAATTTTTAAATAACTTAATCTGAAATGTTGTTTACCACTGCTCAAAAGCAGATTTCATGAATGAAGAGTGAGAACCACCTCCTTGTCCTTGACAATCTTTCCTGTACAGTTGCTTTCATTCTTTAGTTTGATATGAGTTGTTTTCACCTGTTTGTGCATTTCATCCAACAGCAAAGGG